AGCTGATACAGCAGTTTTACCTGCCACACCAGCCATCCTCACCCTGCCGGCCTGCATGTTGCTTCTTCACGCCTCTTTTAAAGGATCCCAGGTTGTAAGAGGGAGGGAACACGTGAGCGGGCAGAGCATTCTATTTACGGATAGTGCGACAAAGAAATGAGTCACCAAATTTCTTTGTAAGCGTTGGAATTGTGGCCACAGTTAGACGATGACAACGTAGGCCAGCGCGCGTGGTCCTCTGAAGGAAAGGAGCAGGTGGGATAAGAGCCTCAGAACACTCGCCGTGGTACAGACGATAGAACGCGCTTAGTGACGCCACGTCACGGCGTAATTGAAGAGGCTCAAGGTGTTTAGTCACCTCCTCATCGCCTATGATGCGAATCGCGCGCCGCTGTAACCTATCCAAAGCATCGAGCAAGTACTTGGCGGAGCCATCCCAGAGGTGCGAGCAATATTCCACGCAGGACCGCACTTGCGTTTTGTACAACAAGCACAGTTGATCGGGCGTGAAAAAACGCCGCACCTTGTTCATGACTCCGAGTTTGCGTGAAGCTGTTTTGATCACGGTTTCGATGTAGTTCTTTGGATTCAGGTCTGAGCGAACTTCCATACCGAGCATGGAAAGTTGCTCTGTAGCGGTAGTGTTGTGCCCTGAAGAGAGGGAAGGGGAAGGAATGGCGATGTTTTTGCCGTGAAAGCGCAAGCCTGAGTTTTCTTAGCATTGAACTCAACCAAGTTCCTGGTACCCCATTCGGAAATGTGGTCCAAAGCCTGATTGAGTTCAATGACAAGATTCTCCCTTTTCACCTTGGTTACCGCCAGCCCAGTCGCTGCTTGTCCGAGATACCCCGCATGCACTGTACTATCGTCTGCATAGCAATGAATATTCCCAAGAGGAATTAAGTCATTGATATGCAGCAGAAAGAGAGTGGGGGATAGGACGGAGCCCTGGGGAACGCATTCACTGACATGAACCGCGAGCTGCTACCATCCGTAAGGACACGAATTCTACGCTCATGCAGGAAATCAGCTACCCAAGAACAGAACTGGGCTGGCAGACCGTAAGCCGGAAGCTTGGAGAGAAGGCTTTTGTGTCATACACTGTCGAACGCCTTGGCAATGTCAAGGCTGATAGCCAACGACTCGCCACGCTTGTCGATAGCCTCACCCCAGATATGAGTTAAGTACGCTAGAAGATCACCCGTCGATCGTTTCGGTCTAAAACCATATTGACGATCATTAATCAGGGAGTGATCCTCTAGGTAGCGGGTCAGATGGTTATTAAGGACCTTTTCTAGAACTTTACATAAAACTGAGGTGACTGCTATAGGCCGGTAGTTTGCCGGGTCTGAGCGATCCCCTTTTTTGGGCACCGGTTGCACTCTCCAAGCATCTCTCCAAGTCTCCGGCACACGCCCTAAAGAATACGAGCATTGGTACAAGCGCGTGAGCACGGAAGACAACTCCGCTGCACATTTTTTAAGTACTACTGCTGGGATGCCATCAGGTCCACTAGCTTTCCGGACGTCGAGTGATTGCAATTCGGCACGAACCTCGCGCTGCCTGATTTTAATATCAGGCATCGTTGTGCCTCAGTGAGGTAATGATGGTAGCAGTGCATTGCAATCATCGATTCGGGAGTTAGCCGCAAAGTGTTTTGCCAGTAAATCGGCTTTCTCCTGCAACTTATGGGCTAGTGTTCCGTCTGGGCATCTCAGAGGTGGCAGCGAGGGCTCGCAGAAGTTTTTTTGGACGGCCTTGGCCAGACGCCAGTAGCTACGGGAGCCCGTAGGATGCGTCATAAGTTCCTGGCCAACACGTGCAACGCGCTGGGCATCCGCTCTGATGTAAGCCTTCTTACAGGCCTTGGAAGCAAAATTGTAAGCTGCTTTGAGTGAATCGACCTCGAGATCCTTGAGAGCGCGGCCTCTGATCCAAGCACGATATGCCGCTTGCTTACGCGAAGCAGCTTCAGCACAGTCGTGATTGAACCAGAGGTTACGTGTGCCCTTACTGATGAGATCAGAATGAGGAATATAGTATTCCATACCCATTATAATCTCCTCAGTAATGGCAACGGCACTGGCCGATAGGTTCCTGTCACTGAAGCAGCGCTGCTTCCAAGGGACGGACGCAAAGTAGTCACGCATACCGTCCCAATCTGCCGACCCATAATGCCAGATACGGCGCTTGACCACTGCTGGACGCGGAGGCTTGGCCTGTGGTGCTTTGGCAGATATCAGGCAGTGGTCTGACGAGCCCAGGGGGGCTCTTACCACAACCTGATAGCCCTGTGGATGGGTCGTGAGCAGAAGGTTCAGTAAAGAAGGCGCTTGACTTGCTATATCTGGGATCCTGGTGGGCTGATCAACCAGTTGCTTCAAGTCAAGCGTGAGAGCGAATGCGTGAGCAGAGATCCCTGCATGGTCAGTTTTGGAAGAACTTAACCACAAATTGTGGTGAACAATAAAGTCCCCCAAAAACACCAATTCTGCTGCCCGACTAAGGTGCTCAAAAAGTCGAGTTGTCTCGACATCGCCGGTGTGGGATCTGTAGAGGCACACGTAAACTCTGGCGAGGGGGCCAGAGTCGACGTGTACCCCCAGCATGGAGAAGGAGGGATCTTCCAATCAGCGGAGACGGCGACAACAAACATCCGCCCAAACATACGGGCATACACCGGCTTTCGCTTTGAAGGACTCTTCAAGCACGTAGCCGGGATAATTAAGGTAGCCTGTGTCAGCAGGCGGAAGTATTTGTGTCTCCGTCAGGAATAACAATGCTGGCCGTGCTGTCTCAAGATGGTAGTGGACAGCGTTGAGGTTAGAGTGGAGTCCGCGTATGTTGCAGAACTCGACCTCAAACAGCGTTGAAGGCGTGGGGGTGTGCACCGCTGTACGTCCAAACTTTGTTTTAGGAGCTGCCATTATGGAAGTGAAAAAGAGACTTGAAAGCAGTGAGACATGTAAGTTTCGAAAGTACTTTTCATATTTTTTGGTAACTAATTTCATTCTGAATTTTATCGTCTATCGACTTATGCCCCTTTAGCATAGCCACCGAAACGGGATATGGTAAATCGCTTTATCCATAGATGAATGATTGGTCTCGCTGCGAGACCAATCATTAATCTATGGCTTTATCATATCCCGTTTCGGTGGTCATGCTAGAGGGGATGGTCCTTATTAATATCAATATTGCATTATTTATCTAATTTTATCTCAAAAGGAGTGATTTCAATAACGATGACTCATTTTAATGCAAATATAATAATAATAAAAAAATAATTTAAGCTGTCGTGGGCGCTTCTGTTTAGATTTGTTTTGTATAGATACAGATAAGTGCACACATGAAGTCAGACCAGTTGCGAATCATTGCGAATGAATTAGAGCGTACTCGGCTATTTGACCGCAATGAAATGAGTGCATCCACTCGTAAACAATCCGACTGGATATGACACTGAGTGGTGGACAATAGCAAAAATTATGAAATTGTGCGAAATTCGCCAATACAATCCAAGTGTAGTCTGAGCACCTATTGGCGCTAACATAGTGAAGTTGTATTTAAAGTTATACGTACACGTAGGAAAAATAAATGTAGGTGTAATAATTATGTGAAAATAAGAATTCGCTTATCATTCATGCTAACAGATTTAGGTCGAAATACTGTCTTCCCATCTTTTCAAATGGTCTTCTGTGGTTGTTTTCAAATAATGCTTTAACTGTAGCCGTAGTTATAAAAAAGTTTGATATTTCTTTTCAAACTTAATCATTACACAGAAGTTTAGTTTACATGGATAAATATGTGAATAAAATACAGATCAAAATGAAATAAAATATTAGATTTGGTGTAAAAATAAATTCAAAAAGAAAGTAATATGGTAACTAGGTATAATGGTTTTGCTAGAAAATAGTGAAAATCCAAATGAAAATTAGACTAAAAGTTGTACCTGCCAGAAAAATACAATACTATTTGTAGGAATTGAAATAAGGGTTAGTGAATCGAAGACGTCATATCGACGAGCAATTAGTAGAACGGAATAAAAATGGGTTTCTGATTGGTTGTTTTCTTGTGTGATCCGCTAAAAGCTTAGCTTTTGCTATGGTTAATTTTGTTTGGTTTGGTATGAAAACGAATGTATACTACACATTTGTATAATTATTTAATTTAATGAATCTGAATGAGAGGAACTCGATGGCACAAGGTTAGCTCATTCGGCCCACGATCATGTAAGTAGAGCAACTTTCCCAATGGTCGATTTATTGGATGGATGGCCATATGCTTATAATCTCGAGTTCCTCTGCGTTTCAAATGGAAAGTTAAGCCGTTGGTCGTGGCTTCATCTGCACTCGTCAACACCCACCAATCCGAACTGGATCCGCGTGGTGACTCACGGCACAGTCTCCTTATTTCATCCATAGGAAAGGCCTGCCCCTGCAATGGTGACATTAATAGGCTGATGATGATGATGAACGAATCTTATTTGAACTTTGTGAAGCATCAAATAAAGTGACAAGTTGTCTCATAAATAAAGTCAAAAACTTCAATTTTCCCAACAAACGTAGAAAAGCACAAACATTATCTATTTTAAATGCGAAGCAGATAAGCTCCTTATTCGTTTCGTGAATGCGATACGAGGTACATCGTTTAGACTCGGATAATCTTTTAGCAGATGGCACACGATACAAACATTTCTAAGTCAATGCAAAGAGTCATATTTCTATTTATTTTATTTAAAAGTTTATAATGTACATTTATGGATCTCAAACATTTTAAAATGTATGACTTATAAAGCAAGGTTTTCGGTGCCGTCAACCAACATACATATAGTGCAGTTATGAAATATAATATTTGTTTAAAAAATGACGTTTTTTTTTTGTACATCTATGATTACTTCACACAGAATGTGATGAAATGTGAAATAAGGTACTTAAAAACTGTGTATTTCTGGAAATGAACAATTCGTTTTAGTATAATAAAAATATTATTTTTTATTAAAATGACCCGGAAGCAACTAATTCACGATTTGTCTATAATACTCCACTTGAGAAGAGGAAATTACAGATTGTGATTAATTATAATTAATAACGAATCTATAAAATTTATTCCCATTACATCAAAATACAAATTTTTATATAAATCCAAAGAAATTTATGAGTTAATTCAAATAACATTTTTATATAATACGAATAAAAACCCATGCATATAAGACCATGCATCAGTTTGAGTTTGTAATAAATATAACTTTGAGCAAATCAAAGTCGTAAATAATTTATCAATGTATGTAATAAAGTAAACATAATTAGAGAAAAATAAAACAGCATAATATGTATCGGTATTCGTGATCGCACGTGGTAAGAATCATGATATTAAAATAAACATTGCGTGATACAGATGCTGAAACCAAACGATAATATTTTATGGAAATATGTACATCAATAAATAACTTAACCATCCATAGGCATTCATTTTCGTCCTTGAAGTATGTAGGTACACATAGTGTGCAATGCATTAATTAGATAGTCCAAGTACGCTATTGCATCTCCAAAAGAATTAATAACAACCTGAAAGCTTTTGCAAACTTATGCCGGGTGTTTGTTTCTACACCCTCTGCAATAGATCAGAAACATTAAAATCCTTAAAAACCACGAAAGTAATTGGATTTTTTTAGTGTGGCTGTGACTGAACTTTAATAATTTAAGAAAATACCATACTACAATACCATTAAGTGAGTGTACTGAAATTAGTTGTACTGGGCAAATAAAAGTAATATACTGAAAAAGCAAATCAAAATTTATTGAAAATACTGGATCCTAAACAATTAATATTGTTAATAATCACAAATTTAATGTCTGTCAAATTAAACTTCGCGAATTCTCTCCGGATATCTGCCCGGGATGTGATCTGGATTGTTAGGGTTGTATTCCCAAATGAGATACTCGGGCTCATTGAGATACAGTGGTGGTATTTCGTCACTTGGTTCCGTTTCCTGACCAAGTAAGCTTTTGTTTCTTTCCAAAATTTCATTCACCTTAGTCTGTGTTTCATCAGAAATATCTAAAACAATTTGTCAAAATAAAATGTACATTACCAATATGTTTGGAATATAGGTTGAACAAAATACCTACAAATTATTAAAAAAAATACAAAAATAAATCTACTGTTGTGCTACTTATTGTGCAGAATGTGATAAGAGTGGTAGAGCTAAGCAAATTTAACGTTTGAATTGAAACACCCGTCAGAGTAGAAGCAAGAAAGTAGCTCTGGTATCGTAAGCTAGTCTGTAGGCTATGATGGCCGCATACAAACTACCAGGGCATATTTAGTTTGCCATTCTTTTACATTAAAATTACATGCCCTTTTTATTGTATAATCGATTCTTTACAGATAATATTTGTTACTTACGGGTTCTACGTAAATCTAGTTTCAAAATCTTTTTGTTTTGTTCGAGTGCCTTGATAAGAGTTTTTTCTGCTTCTCCGGATAAGTCATTAGCCGCCATATCTAATCTGGTTAAACCTCTGTTTAGGCTAAGTAGGCCAGCCATCTATAATTGTACACTTGTGTAGTAAAACAATTTTCAATACATAAACAAATTTAGTAAAAATATATCGCCCAATTACCTTTTCAGCGGATGCGCCTTTAAATCCGCAAGAATTGACGATTAGCGTTTGGGGTTTCTCCTTACAACGAACAAAAGCTGCAGCAAATGTCGTTGCACATTCAAGAGACATAGGATTCAGACTAAAATCTTTAAATAAATATAATAATTATATGGTTTGAGTCATTATATATGTGTTATGTAGAAAAAGTCAAGAAAATTATATACGAAACTTTACCTATCAATTCTATTGGGGCTGCAGGTTTCATTTGTAAAGCATATGCAATTCCTTGCACACCGACTTCCTTGAATCTGTTGTTTGCTATTCGGACTCTTTTTACATTCTTATGTATAAAAATAAAACCACCCAAAGCTTTCATGCCGTAGTCACCTATCTTACAATGATTGAAATCCAATTCTTCTATACTTTCTTTCTTCACTAAATTTTGCAAAATAAGTTTTACCTTGGAACAATCTAAATTACTTCTGTTAATTCTAAAAGTTCTGAGATTTTTTAAATCCTCGACACCTCGGCAAAGTGATTCGCAGTCGGCCATTGAAAATTCAAAGAATCTGGTTTGATAATTGTCTTGCTGATCATTTAATCCAAATACTAACGAGATCTCTTGCAGGTTATATAATTTTGCTAGTACGGGCTCCAAAGGAATGTGGTCGTACACTTTTGGCACACTAAAAACACATGTGTCTTCTACAATATCTTCATAAGGAACTGGTGGGGTAGGCTGCCTAGCCATTTGCAACTGATTAAGACCTAGTTCGTAAATATATGGGCTCACCTGAAATTAATTAATTATTAAATTTAAATTGAAATTTCCTATATGACTGATATAGCTAAAGCATAATATTGTATTATATAACCAGCTGAGCTAATTCAACAGCATCTTCCTCAATGAAAACATCACAGTTAACATTTTCTAAGTAATCTTGTAAACAAGCCGATAAAAACTTTCCTTTCCAAAATGTTACTCCAAGTTCTAAACGTGATGGAAATTTGGTTGCAAAAGACCTCTTCCAATATTGCTCGTTCTGAAAATGGGTTTGTTTATCAGTCATATCCTAGCAACGCTAAACTGCTAAGCCATAAATGGTTGTGTATTTACTTTGATGTAAGGCACGCTACATTTCAGGGGTATATCCGCAGGATATAAGTCCATAAGCATGTCCACATCTTTTTGCAAAATTTTATGAAGTGGATTGATTTTATGGAAAGCTCTGGATAGCGCAAGAGCAGAAAAGTAAGTTAAAGGTGCAGGAGTAACATCGTCATCCCATTGAAAGTTTTCCGCTACTATTTTACGGTTGGCCTCAGCCAATGAGTTTTTCATCACATTGGTCGTCACGTACGCTTGTTGTGTATTTTGAGGAACGATATAGGGTATCTTCATGGTGTTTTTATTTCTTGTCTGTCTTGTGTTTTAAAAACTTTTATGCGTTTTAGTAAAAATAATTTGATTATTTTCAAACCTTGATACTAAGAAAATGACGTTGTCTGTCAGTGATTACAGGTTCAAAGTGGGTGAACAAAAAGATGTGTTCTAAAAAGTATATAATTTTTTTCGAAATATTATTTTCAATATTATGTAAAAAGTTTGACACATTTATCAAATTAATATTTTATAACGATATTACACGATTCCCCAAAAATATTTTGTAGAAACTATTGTGACAGTACATGTCAAAATCCTAACAAAGCGTTTCAAAATATTCCATTAATGGTATATTAATGAGCTATTAGTAATAATTTCATCAAAGTTCAGTTCTACTTCCACGTCTTTGTGTTGATCTGGCATTGTCCACTGAGCGAACCGCATTACGTCAACAATATCTTCGTATCGTCGGTCGTTTTCGTGTGTTATCGGCTACGCTCGGATCATAATAACAACGCTAAGCATGCACGTGCGTTCACTCAGCTCAACTCTACCTACTCCGGCACCGGCATTCATTTGTTGTTATATCAAGAGGCGCGCGCTCCACAGTGCACACGAAAACATTGTGAAGTTTTTACTAAATAAAAATATAAATAATAATGAATTCGGACAACAAAAACCAGCCGAAAAACCAAAACAACTCACAATATTCGAGCTACAATCCATGGAATTTATTATTTACGTCGAGAACGCGTACGGAGAGTGAAAACAGCGCAAGTTCAACGAGCTCCCAAAATTTTCAAACAGGTTAGTCCTACTATAAACAACTTTTTTTTAAGAAATCTAATGATTTAACGGAATTGTGTTTAACATAATATCTTGTAGTCTTTTTATAAATTAATCGTAGTTTACATTCCATGTTTGCGCTTTGACAACAAATCTGCTCTCCATTCTACAGTTGTTTATTTTTTTTTATATAAGTATGTAATCGGGCGAATTTACGAAAACGATTTCAATACTTAAATGTTTTGATTAAGAATCTTTGCATTGCAAAGCTTGCAGTATTATCCATCAAGTTAAATTAAAACCGAATTCATTTCCATAATGGTAAGGAAATGAAGTACACAAACTCATGCTCGTGTTTATTTATAGACGTTAACGTTTTCACAGTTCGACTACAAGTTCGACAAAGTTAATACTTCATGATTTAAACTGCTTAATCGAGATGCTCAGTCAACTTATTTAAAAGTGTGTGAACAGTGTACACTTACATTTACTGTACTGTAGTGGTATTTATAGTGAGCAGGTAATTTAAAGAAGAAAATATATTTAAAACTTGTTTCAATTGCAACTAGTTAACCATGAAATTGTAACTAATCACAAAAGACTTGTTATTAAACGCGTGTGGTGGACTAGTTTGACGACAATAATATTAAAAATAACATTGTATTAATCCGATGGCATGGTAAATACACATATAAAATTAAAATAATGACAACTTTAATAAAATTAAGTCTTTGCTGGGCTAAAATGGAGCTATGCTTTACAAAGTAAATGATTGTTAACTTATAAAAAAAACCTATACCCGCAGATATTATCATCATCAGCCTAATTGATATCCTCACTGCTGGGGCACAGGCCTTCCCTATGGATGAAAAAGGGAGATTGGACAATGACCCACCACGCGGGCCCAGTTCGGATCGGTGGGTGCTAGCTAATTACTGCAGATGCAGCTGGGACCAACGGCTTAACGTATTTTCACGGAAGAGCTGGAGATGATGAGCTTTTGATCACCTATCCCATGAACGACCAATGCGAAAGTTGCTTTACTTTCACCATCGGAGAATTAAACAATAAAACTTTGTAAATTTGAATAATAGAGACAATAGTAATAGATAATTCAGTTTAGTGTTATTTGGTACTAAGTTAGTATTTTTAAACTTTGCTCAGGCGCGTTCACCTTGAATTCCAATTTTAACGTCAACACATTTGTCAAAACGTATTGCAATGACACATTACTTTGTAAACATTTATCATGAAGTATTTTTTCAAACGCGTACTGCCAATTATTCGGTTATTTAGCGAGGACTATGAAACATAAACTCAAATAATAATAAATAGGTATTCATTCCATTCCATTCATTCCAACAGGAAAACAAATGCCTTTGCGGTCATCATCCTTAATAAAACCGTAAAAATGTAATAATTCAATAAACATTTTATTGAATTATGTTTTTATTTATTTTTAAGCATTTAACTGCTAGATGTTTAAATCTAAAGAAAAGTCAGTGCATTCGCCCGGATTGCGAAGGGTGCGGGTTCTAGTCCCGTCTACTGCCTGGTCCGCGTGGATTTTTTTCTAGTAAACTTTTCTTTAGATTTTATTGAATTATTACACACTATCAATTGGTATTCTGCAAATACTGTTCCCATGATTTTATTATTGATGCGGGGATACAAATCACTCTAGGCATATGAAAATACGTAGAAATGTTTCAGAAATGGATGTAAAGAACTCGAATATCGGTGTTGATACACTGAAACCACTCTGGTTTTTTTTTTTATTTAAAAAGTAATGCCAAATATACCTTTCATTGCAGCATTTTTCAAAGTTAATTGTGTATGCGCATATTTATACATTGAATGTTTTGTGTATGCATACGCTGTATTTTATTTATGGTAATCTTTACAAAATAATGCTTTACAGACTCAGGTACTTACATAAAAATCACATGTTCTTTGTCAGAAAATCCTTGTGACTTGACTATCGCAGGACTGATTTGGCTAAAATATTCGAAGTAGACTGAAAGAAGTTTCGTGGAAAAAAGATTTTAGAAAATGGTCCCAGTTACTGAGGAATATTTTAATCTAAGAACATATTTTGTTTTGACGAAATTTATATACACTTAACCAATCAATGAAAATCAAACGAGCTATATATTTATCTTGTACACAGTATTGATTATGTTTTCCTAAGTTCAAAGATAGAAATACATCGATGAATAATATTAACATTTGAATGGAAAATCTACATGAGTTAGAGTATTTTTTAAAAGGTTACTTCTTCAGACGATGTTCCTGGAAAAAAGGAATCAGTTAAATTTGAATTGAAGACAAAAAATTACTCTTGTGTTGTATTGTTATACTAGTGGCCCGCCCTCGCTTTGCTTCGGTGTAGAACTGTAGTGTACACTTAAGTTCTTGTTATTACCACACTACCAGTAGCAGCGGATCATTGATGAAAAATGTTGCAAAAACTGGTAAAAATATTCCATTTATGAGATTCCGTTGCGAGCGCTGGGTAAACTGTTAAAGTTTTACAAAAATCATGTATGGCGGAATTCTTCCCCTTTTAAAGTTCTGTAAAAAAGTCCACAGAGCCTATGCCCATATTTTTAGTTTATCTCACTATAAACCTTTTTCTTTAAATTAACGCGGGTGAAACCGCAGGGGACGTCTACTTGGGACATATGTAATTCTTAGACATACGGTATCGCGGACTTTTTTGTAGATAGTGGTATCCTCTATTAAAAAAACTTTAGTATATCACTGTGCCCTATTGTCAATAACTTCCGCAACGTACGCGATATAATGCATTTTTTTTGGAATTTTTACACATTATCGAAGTTTTCATACGGAACCCTAACTTTTTGAAAATACACTATCTATAGCCTATATTAATCAGTGATAATGTAGCATTCAAATTACAACAGAATTTTTAAAATCGATCCATTACTTTTAGAGCCAATTCTTTACAAACATACTTACATACAAATCTTTCCTGTTTATAATTTTATTGTTATATTTGGACAGATAATTCTGTTTCCGTACAAAATTTGACAGAATGTTAACTTGAGAATTATTTATTTATTTATTTGACGGGAACTAATGACAGGCACGATAGAGTCGACAAACTTATTGATTCCACGACATAATACAGTTATTTCTGATCTTTAATGGCGTACTTTTGTTTTGATGTAAATTAAAATCATGTTACAACACAGAAATTCTCTATGTGCATGTTTATTTATTTATTAGTAGCTTTTCAGAAAATTCTTATTTTTTTTTCTTCAATTATATTTTGTTAGTCAGTGTATAATAAACTTAAGTATTCAATAATTGTGTATGTTATAAAAGGCTATGTTTTTCCAGGATCCCAGTACGGTTCACTTAAAAGGCAAACCAGCAAGAATAACGAAGAATATTTATGGATGATGTAAGTAAAGTAGCTTACTTTGTAATTACAAGTCTTTACAAACCACAATTGATTCAATACTACTCTCCAACGATAAACACTATCGAATACTGGTAATACTAAGGTAACTCAACATTGACAATGCTTCACGTTTTTTGCACAAAAGTTTCACATAACTGACATCTCATCATCATCAGCCTTTTAATGTCCCCACTGCTGGAATAGAGAGATTGGGCCATAGCCCACCACGAGTGCCGAGTGAGGAATGGCGGGTGCTAACGACTGCAGATGCAGCCGGGACCAACGGCTTAACGTGCCTTCCGAAGCACGGACTGACATCTACTCAAATTATGTAACAAATACTGAAAACCTCATAGGTACTCAAAGATCAAAAAATCTCAATAGGCGCCTAGTTACTTAATTAGGTGGTAACGAATATTTTAATATCAACAGAAAAATAATTATGAAAAATAAGTGTGTATATTTTATATAAAAATAAAGATATTTTAGAGGAAAACCGTAAAAAAATATTGACTACTTCCAAGTAGTCAATATTTTTTTACGGTTAAGGTTATCTGATATCACAACTCAAATATTATATTTCTAATGTGAATAATAATCTAACTACTTTTAGTCCTTGATGTGATACTTTTTTACGTGACTGAAACAGCTAAAAATAAAACATTACAAAAATAAATTAATTTTTATGAAAGACAGTTTAATACATATACAGGGACTTTGAAAATCTCACAAGTTGTCAAACATGTGGCTTTAAATGAAACATTGTAAATGAAAATTGCTTCATTAAAAAGCTTGCTAAAGATGACATATTGTTTATTTTATAGTTATGTAAAGAAATTGATAGAATAAACTATGTAATCAACTTAAGCTTAACTCAAAAATTTATGGAAGTACTTACTCCATGCGTCTATTTGAATGTTAAGCAAGGCGGGTGGCCTTAAATGTACCAAATAAAAAGACTGGTAGAGAATGTAATATGGCCTTAAAACCGCCATTTGTTGTAAAACCATAAAGAGTAAATAAATATATAAAATAAGATCGACTGTTTTACCTTAGTCCACCGTGGACAACCCGTAAGATCACGCATAAAATGTTATATTGTTATATATCATTCAGTTTTCCTTTGTGAGTCGATCATTTGTGCGGTTAACTAACCGTTAAAATTATTGAAAATAACTCTACTACCACTAATTTTCTTTGAATCGAAAAAACAAGGTCGAGTTCTTTCGATACACACGTAAATACACACATCAAAAGTGTCTAGGGATCAACATATATTTTTGCAATAACTTTTCTCCTGATTGATATTAATTAAAATTTTCTTTAAGGATTCATCAAATAAAGTGTTTTCGTTTGTCACAGTAACGATAAACCAAGTCACCTTTGCATTAATAAAGAAATTTGCCATTTTCCTAATAAAGGGATTTTTGACATTTGAACCACTAACACAAAAGTTCGAAAAAAAGACTGAAATAACAGTTTTCTCTAAAATTTTATTGGGTAACTTAAACAATTAATAATCCGTATTTCTATCGCGAACACTAACAACACAAGAACATCGGTTTGGCATACTCAAAATGAGTTCATCCAAATCACGCTGTGGAATGGCCGCCCATGTTCGTTGCAACAACAAAAAAAGGTCTTCTTGCGACTGGATACCCTCCATATTCGGCTGAGCTCTTCTCTGTAGCATATCCCATGCATGCTCAATCGGGTTCAAGTCTGGCGACTGAGCAGGCCAGGGCAGGACATTGATGTTAGCTGCGGCGAGAGTCTG